CGCATAATCTTGCGTATTTTACGCATTTTAATCTGATTACGCAAAATATTTTACAGCTGTGTCTGTTCGTACGCGTTGTTTCAGCTGTGTTGTTGTATGAAAACAGCTGGGCAAAATCACGACGTCACACTTCCAGGCTAGTTCCCTGCCGCTAACTTGCAACAATGTATAATGTTTATTTCAAGCAAGTCAGTTGCAACAAATAGCAACATTGTTTTGGTTCATTGTCAATCAAATTGCTTGGCGCGAACTGCTGTCATACGTAGCAGTGTACAACGTTGTTCAATTATGATTGAATAGCGACTAATTGCTTATTTCTAGAAATGACAGCCAATAAAATTTAACAATTAAAAATATAATTATTTGTTTTGTATCATTTCATTACTGACGTGGTGTAAACCGTTATTCCGTTACTTATTCAAATATTCCCGTTCATGATCGTGATCCGGCAGTACCTAACTCTATATTATGTCTAAACGGCAAAATATTGCGAGTTATTTTACTCAATCACCATCGCCAGCAAGGAAAAGAGGAACTCCGACGCTAAATGTACCGGAAAACTCAGCGCAACCAAATGCCGAGACGGCAGGTGTTTCTGACGTGCATGTGAAAAAGCATCACAAATTTCGCCAAGAATGGATGCGCGAGTTCAATTGGTTATATCACGAACCCGAAGTTACAGCTCCAGAAGTGAACGTCAAAATGTTTTGCCGTACCTGTAAAAGTGCTGGCAAGTCAAATTCATTCACGAAAGGTTGCAGTGACTTGCAACGTTCGGCATTAGTTCGCCACTTGGCCACCAGCGACCATAGAGAGTCTTGCAAGTGTACGGGTTTTCGCAAAGCGATGAGCAAGTCCATGGAAAACGCAATGTCAGCAGACACCGATGGGCAAATATCTGTGATGCGTACAGTCTATTTCGCCGACACCAAGCTGTGCAGTTTGTTATAACTGCAGAAACTGAATGGCAGTGATCCATTTAGAAAATGTAATCCTTATGTTCATTCAGTTTCGGTCCACGAAATGCAAAAAGTGTTGTCAGATACGATACGCGGGAAGATCAAAGAAGAAATCAGGCGAAGCCCTTACATCGGCCTTCTTACAGATGAAACCGTAAATATCACTGTTGATAAGAAACTGATAGTTTATTTGCGTATCATGACGAGCGGTGGCCCAAAGTCAATTTTTCATAGCAATGTCACTATTCACAGCGGGAATGTCGAAACAGTGATGAATGCGCTGATTGACACACTCGTTGCAAGTGATATTGAAATTGATAAAGTCATGGGCTTTGGATCTGACGGCGCCAGTGTTATGACTGGGCGTTTAAATGGTGTTGCTCTAGCGGCCAGCGATGCAACAAAGCGAGATAAAGGTGTTGTCAATATCAGTGAATACCGTAAAGATGTAAACACTATCTACAACTTTTACCACTTCTCTGCTGCCCGTATGAATCGTTTGCGAGAATTGAATGATGCACTGGATAACAACGATTTCCGGTCACTCAAAGAGCCGTGTTCGGTGAGATGGCTATCATTATCCCGAGCAGTGACAGCGATCAACAATAGTTGGGCTGTTCTCGCAGTTGAGTTGGAGGAGGAATCAAGGCCTGAAAAGAATAATGCAGTTGCGAAGGGACTGTTGTTACGCGTGTCGTCCTTTAAATTTGTGGTAACAACAAAACTTCTAAAAGACGTGTTAGTGCTGATGAATAGATTAAATCTCCTATTTCAACGTGACACTATCGATTTGTCCACAATTGCTCCCATGGTTTTGTCTACAATACAGAGTTTACAGCAGCTATTGGAAACTCCCTATTCCAGTGTACATGAAGCACAGTTCATGGATACATTTGACAGGCAAACACGCACTTACCACGGAGTTCAACTGAAGCATGCAGCCGAAGTCAACATTGATGCGTTCGTTAACGGCACTCGACGTGAATTCGTGGAGGCACTAATTTACAACTTGCAACGTCGTTTCGAGGGCGATCAGATAACTGTTCTAACTTCATTAGATGTCCTGCTCAATCCCAGGAAATTGCCACAAGACAGGAACGAGCTAGCGAACTTCGGAATACCGGAAATGGAAGCACTTTGTGGTCATTTTGGGCGTGACATGGGTGACGATGGTGAAATCCACAGAGCCATAATTAATTTTGAAGAGCTCCGTATCGAATACCAGCAATTCAAAATTGTGCTATACGGATTGAGACAGCTTCA